CTGTATTAATTTGCATCCTCTGCTCTTTTATTACCTAACAATAAAATCAAAATGATCATTTAGAGCCACAGAGTTTACTGAATCAGCTAATATCAAAATCCACATCTAAAAGAAACAAATCTGAAAGAATAACTTGTCTGCAATATACTTACAGACTTCAAAATTGCTCATTTGCACCAATTCCCTGAATTCTCTCTTTGACAGCTTCCTCTGTGCTGGGATGGGGACAACACTGCTGCTTAGAAAAGAAGCCAATTGACGAAGGAATTTCTGATAGTGGGACCGTACAGTTTTAGTTCCCCAGCTGAATGAATATGGAGGTAATATTTTTGTTTTTCCTTATGGATCAAATCTTGTTGATATTTATCCCAAACTTTCTGTTTCATCTTTTGGATCTTCAGAGTAAAAAATGTCTCTCTCAAAGTTCTTGAACAGGATAGCTTTACCTTTTTTCTAAATATGCCAACACACATGTTACATTTCTCATTCGATGATTCTCTCTCATTATGATGTTTCTATCTCCCTCCCCCTTCCACTCTGAAATCAATAGAAAATACATATTTTTTTAAAAGACCAAAAAAATTTTTCATTACTTTAAAATACTTTGAAAGCAGTTCTAATTTTTTTAAAATATAGTCTTATTGACTTCAGAGAGGAAAGGAAAGGGAGAGAGAGAGAGATAGAAACATCACTGGTGAGAATCATCGATTGGCTGCCCCCTGCACGCCCACACTCTGAAATCAATAGAAAATACATATTTTTTAAAAGGACCAAAAGAATTTTTAATTACTTTAAAATACTTTGAAAGTAGTTCTAATTTTTAAAAAATATAGTTTTATTGACTTCAGAGAAGAAAGGAGAGGGAGAGAGAGATAGAAACATCACTGATGAGAATCATCGATCAGCTGCCTCCTGCACGCCCCCTACTGGGGATTGAGCCTACACCTGGGCATATACCCTGACTGGGAGTTGAACCATGACCTCCTGGTTCATAGGTCAATGCTCAACCACCAAGCCATGCCAGCCGGGCATTTCTGAAAATTTTTAATGGAATACCTCACATTAATTGGATTATGGGCCTTGTTTTACATTCGGATTATATAAGAAACTGTTATAGTCTAAGAATTTAAAAATAAACTTTTACCAGTTCTTTGACAAGTGTCTGTCTCCCATCATTCTCCAACATTCTTCTATAAGATCTTCTACTAATCCTGTTAATTGCTATCTATGAATGACCA